GGGGATAAGGCTGACTCTGGGGTCCACCCCTAGGACCAAGCCTGGGGGAGGTGGCAGGGGTCAGGGGGCACAGGATGTTTGAGATGCCATTAGAGGTCCAAGTGGGTGCGTGGGTGGGTGGCAACCCAGAGTGCGGAGGGGAGGCCCAGCTAGTATCCAGGTTTGATAGTTCTTGTCATGTAGTGAGTGTCTGAAGCCAAGGATAGTGGGTTCCCAGGGAGAGTGAGAGCCACAAGTGCCCAGGGTGTGGCCAACCTGTCCTGATGACCTCAAGACTACATGGAGGGCCCTCCCTCTCCCTGCTGCCCATGGAACTCTGGGCAAATGGCAGGAACAGGCGAGCCTGTTCAGCTGGTCTGGGTCTCTCTGGTAACTTGGAGGTTTCAGGGAGGAGGGAGGAGGCAAGTCTCATGCATGAAGAGCTCAAAAGCCATCGTGGTGGCAGAGGACTGGGCTTGTTGCACACAGGCCTCCTCAGGCCCCTGCCCATGGTCAGCCTGGCCATTGCCCCACAGGCCCCGGAAGAATCCTCTGTTCATTGTGGACCTGGTGCTGGACAGCTCAGGGGTGCACTACAGCACACCGCTGGAGCAGTTCGAGACAGCTTTGCTCAACCTCTTCGACAAGGGCATCCTAGCCACCCACGCAGTGCCCCAGCTGGAGAAGGTACCCACAACTCAAGGCCCGGATACCTGCTGCTCTGGCTGCTAGTGGCCACCGTAGCCCCAGGGTGCTGCCCTGAGTATTAGAGCAGTTCAGCTTTATCATGGGCCTCCCACCTGGCTGCAGTGTGCTCAGTCCTTTAATAATTCTTCTTCTTCTTTTTTTTAAAAATATCTTTATTGATTTCAGAGAAAGGAAGGGAGAGGGAGAGAGAGAGAAACATCAGTGATGAGAGAGTCATCGTTAGCCAGCTGCTTCCTGCATGCCCCCTACTGGGGTTCAAGCCCGAAACCTGGGCATGTGCCCTGACTGGGAATTGAACCGAAATCTCCGGGATCCTAGGTCAATGCTCAGCCGCTGAGCCGTGCCCGCTGGGCAGATTCTTGAGTAGCTCATTTCATCCTCACTGTAAGTTGAACTGGAAACCATCAACATCCACATTTTGTTGTGAGACTCAGAGAAGTTTAGCCTAAGGTCACATAGCTGCTGTCAGACCTGTGATGCCACCTAGGCTCACTTGTCCACTCCTGCCACAGCCATGTCTGACCCAGATCCCACCCTCTTGGTCCCATCCAGCTCCTGACCTCCGTCTTCAACTAAGATGTGAACACAGATCACCCTCCACACCCCAGCAGGGGGCGTGCAGGAGGCGGCCAGTCCATGTTGATGTTTCTCTCCTTTCCTCTCTCTCTAAAAGTCCCCATTTCACTGCCAGATCTGGGCAGAGCCCAAGCCCTTGGTCCAACAGCCTCTGTAACTCTGGTCTCCTCTTGTCTTCCTTGCTGGCCAGAGCCATCAGTGACCTGGTTGTCCCATCTGTTCCTTACCTTGGCAATGGGCTGAGTCAGACAGAGAAAGCCGGTGCCCCTTGGTGGACCCCATGGGGCTTCCGGCCTTGTATTTGTCCACAGCCCTAACCCTGCCCTCACCCCCACCATGCTCTCTGTGCTTGGCCACACTGCTGCCCACTTAGTCTTTGGGTCACATTTCCAACTCCTCTGCCCACCCGCCTCCTGACTCATCCAGTTCTGCCCCCCACTCCACAGCTGGTGATGGAAGACATCTTCATCAGCGGTAACCCCCTGCTGGAGTCAGTGGGGCTTCACGAGCCCCTGGTGGAGGAGCTGAGGGCCACCATCGCCAATGCTGTGCGCAAGGCCATGATCCCATTGCAGGCCTACGCCAAAGAGTACAGGAAGTACCTGGAGCTGAACAACCATGACATCTCCACATTCCTCAAGTGCGTGTGTCTGAGTGTGTCTGTGTGTCTGTGTGACCCCCATCCACACTCTCACCACCCTCTATCCCTGTGTGCCCACTGTCCATAGGGCCTACCAGGAGCAGTGCCCATCAGCTGAGGAGGTGCGGGAGGTGGTGCTCACCCACCTACAGGAGAAAGAGATCCTGGACAGCTCGCTGCCCAGCAGCATTGTCATTGGGCCCTTCTACATCAACGTCGACAATGTCAAGCAGAGCCTGTCCAAGAAGCGCAAAGCCCTGGCCACTTCCATGCTGGACATCCTGGCCAAGACTCTGCACAAGGAGGTGGACAGCGTAAGTGCCCCCCAGCTCAGCCCCAGTGACTGCAGCAGTGCGTGTACCCTTGCTTCCATGGTGAACTCCCACTAGCAAGATGTCCCCAGGCAGGTCCGGCCGGTGTGGCTCAGTGGTTGAGCATTGACCCATGCACTGAGAGGTCACCAGTTCGATTCCCAGTTGGGGCACATGCCCAGGTTGCAGCTCAATCCCCAGGAGGGGGTTTGCAGAAGGCAGCGGATCCATGAGGATGTTTCTCAGCAATGTTTCTCTCTCTCCTCCCTTTCTCTCTCTCTCAAATCAGTAAGAACATATTTTAAAAAAAACAAAAAAGATGTCCCCAGACAGAGTCAGTGATGCCTGTAGATACTAGGCCAGTGGAAGGACCTGGAAGTCATCCTGCCTTGTCCCTGCCTGTCTGCAGAGAGCTGTGCAATATGGAGGGCCCCAGGGAGGGATGCTGCTAACTTGTAGAGAACTGGGAGCTCCCCATGAAGGACACCCTGACATGGATCATTTCACAGAGCTGAGGGTGTGCAAGTGCAGGCCTAAGAAGTCCCATGTATGTGTGTGTATGTTGGCTTGGCGCAGGAGGCTGGGCAAGTGAAGTTGCTGGGTGACTCCCTTGCCCCACCGCAAGGCCTCAGCTCCCCAATGAGCCTGCTGCAGAATGTGGTGGGGTGGGGGCAATTACCTGTCTGGAAACACTGGGGACCAGAAAGGGGGAGCAGGCCCCGGGGAAGGCAAGGGCCCTGCTAATGCCCTCCTCCCACCGCCAGATCTGTGAGGAGTTTCGCAGTATCAGCCGCAAGATCTATGAGAAGCCCAACAGCATAGAGGAGCTGGCTGAGCTTCGTGAGTGGATGAAAAGCATCCCTGAAAAGCTGGTGGGGCTGGAGGTGAGGCGCACACATGGGAGCCGGGGAGCGGGGGTGGGGGTACTGGTGTCCAGGATCCTGGTGGGCTAGAGGTCAGGTGGGCACATCCGGAACTGGGGAACTAGAGTCATGGGCCATTGTTCAGCTCTGAAGGAAGGGGCTGGGAGATCAGGAACCAGGATGCCAGAGGTGAGGTACATACAGAGGACAGGTGGGGCTCCGGGGAGCTATGAGGCCCTATGCACAGTGGAGGTTCAGAGCTGTGCTGTCTGAGAGGCCAGGAAGGTGGAAGATATGGGTCAGGGGCTGAAGGTTGGAGATGTGGTGGCCATGGCCCTTGGAGCTCTGAACCCAGTGCTGGCCTTGCACCTCGCACCTCCTCCCCGACCCCAGGCCTCCCCTCCTGGAATAAAGCAGCCTCTCCCTAGCACCCATTCACCTTGGGGAACCCAGTCACACACCCACACACCCGGGCACACATGCATTTTCATCACCGGCTGTCCCTGCAGGAGCGGATTGTGAAGGTCATGGATGACTACCAGGTCATGGACGAATTCCATTACAGCCTCACCACAGATGACTTCAATGACAAGTGAGTGGGAGTTTGGTTCCCACCCTCCCTGGGTGGGTGGCGGACAGCAGGAGGTAGGGGAAGAGGTGCCGAGCTGCAGGGGCTTTTGAATATCCTTGTGGCCACGGCTGTGCAGTCACACCAGAAATGCCCTGCCAAGATGCCCGAGGCCATGGATCCACATGGTCTGGGACCAGGGCCAGGGTCAGGTGGCCAATGGGTCAAAAGGAAATCATTTGAGCCTCTCAGCCTAGGGACCCTGCCCCCAACCCTGCCTCCATTCTCTATTCTATCATCAGCCGGGCCCTTTGTTTATGGTTGGAACCCTTTGGGGTCCTTCGGAAAAGAAGGCAAACTCAGCCTGCTGGGCGGTCCCTGGGGAGGAGCACTTGTCCCCACCCAGCTCGTGGGAAATGGCCTCAGGTTGGAACTGCCTTACTGAGGCCACCAGAGACCCCTTGCCCACCCTGCCTCACAGACTGGTAATACCTCCAGGACCTCAGGGACAGGAGAGATTGGCACTCTCTCCTGCCCAGGAGCTTCAAGACTCTAACTTTATAGGGCATCCTGGTGCTCATAGTGGGCCTTCCCCAGGTTTGACATCTCCAGGCCAGCTGCAGGCAGAATCCCTGAATCCCACAGGGCCCCATGTCTGCCAGGCAAAGAGAATTGGTCTGACATGAAGGAAGCTGGCCTGGTGGCCCCGGTTTGTCACCAAGGAAATGCAGGCTAGAGATCAGTCACTTTGCCTCAGCATCACTCCTCTTATTTCCAACACTATCCCCCACACTTGCCCTGTCACTGCTCTGGGCACATTGGATCTGCATCTCCCTGGATGCTGACCGCAGGTCCCAGACCACAATCTCAGGGTAGGGACTGCTTCCTCCGCCAGGCAGACCCAAACCCTGCAAAGTGGCTGCCTCCCAGCTCTCTTCTGCTTCCCACTTGTCCAACCCTGGCTGCCTTCAGCTGCCACCTGGAACCCCTGTTCTCCCCTTTACCATGGGTGTCCCTGCCTACCCTGCCCACCCCATGATTTCAGCTGTGACATCCTCCCCAATCCCCACCCCTACCCCATCCAGATGGGCTGCCAACAACTGGCCTGCTAAGATCCTTGGACAGATAGAAATGGTGCGGCAGCAGCACTTGGAAGAAGAGGAGAAGTTCCACAAAATCCAGATTATGGATCAGAACAACTTCCAGGAGAAGCTGGAAGGGCTGCAGGTAGGGCTTGGCTGAGGCTCTGCTGGGACTGGCTCCCACTACACACACACACACACACACACACACACACACACTTCTCCAGGGCTGGGCCTTGATTCTTGTATTCAGGAGTTGCTGTGCCAATGTTTGATGGCGGAATTGGTGGATGAATGAACAAATGTCTAAAAGAATGAATTGGAAAAAAATTAAAACAATGAAGTGAAAAGCCAGGAGGGTGTCTGGACAGCAAGCTCCAGAAGAATTCAGAGTAGCAAAGAGCCCCAACTCTTCTGTTGTGTCCTTCATGCCCAGTGGGCAATAGATGCAGAGTTCAGGGCGTGCGTGGGTCTTTCTCTGATTTTGCTGTGTTACCACGGGGTGGTCAGCTTCTGCCTGTAATGGGCCAGGAACCTGCTCACTCTTGGAGAAGGAAGTGCTCTCAGAACTGGGAGATTCTGATGCCCAGAGATCTTGGGCTTCCCGGGTGTGTGTGGGCACGGGTAGGGCTGCAGAGGCCTCTGACTCCTTGCTCCTTGGCCCACAGCTGGTGGTAGCTGGCTTCTCCACCCATGTGGAAACTGCTCGAGCGCACGAGATCGCCAATGAAGTGCGGAGGGTCAAGAAGCAGCTGAAGGACTGCCAGCAGCTGGCCATGCTCTACAACAACCGTGAACGCCTCTTTGGCTTGCCCATCACAAATGTAGGCCTCCCACCCCTAACTCCCAGGGTTTAGGAGAGAACCCATGGTGTTTGTGGCCACATCAGAACCCAGCTACCAGGTTGCAGGGCCCTGGCATTTGGAGGAGCAGGACCAAGCAGGCTGCAGAGAGGAGATAACCTATCCCTTGTTCTCAGTGCAAGGAGACTGGCTAGAATGAGGCAAGAGGCCTGAGGGTCAGTGTAGGCGTTGCTTAGCCACTCAGAGCCAAAGCCTGCAGGGGCAGGAAGAAAGGAGTCCAGGCCCAAGTCCACGGGGACAGGATTAAGGACAGCAGCCAGGAGCCAGGATGGGGAGAGGACCTGGCCCAAGAAGGAGCAGCGTGGAGAAACTTGGGAGCACCTCAAGGCAGCCCTGGCTCTTTTGCCCCTGCAGTATGACAAACTCTCCAGGATGGTGAAAGAGTTCCAGCCCTATCTGGACCTCTGGACCACAGCCTCCGACTGGCTGCGCTGGTCTGAGAGCTGGATGAATGACCCCCTGTCAGCCATCGACGCTGAGCAGCTGGAGAAGAATGTCATTGAGTCCTTTAAGACCATGCACAAGTGTGTGAAGCAGTTTAAGGACATCCCAGGTAGGTGACCAAGCCAGTCCATCTCCCACTTCCTGCCTGTGCTGGCTGCTTCTCACACCCTCCAACCCTGCCCGGCAGCCTGCCAGGAGGTGGCCTTGGACATCCGGGCCCGCATCGAGGAGTTCAAGCCATACATCCCGCTGATCCAGGGGCTGCGAAACCCTGGCATGCGGAACCGGCACTGGGAGGTGCTGTCCAATGAGATCAACATTAATGTCAGGCCCAAGGCCAACCTGACCTTTGCCCGCTGCCTTGAGATGAACCTACAGGACCACATCGAGAGCATCAGCAAGGTGGCTGAGGTGGCCGGCAAGGAGTACGCCATTGAGCAGGTGGGCAGCCAGTGGGCTTACCTTGCCCCTCCCAGGCCCTGCCCGACGGCATAGGAGGAAGACAGTATTGGGCTCCATCCCTGAGATCCTTCACCAGGCCCAGAGGTTGAGGTGCATTCTGTTAAGTGAGTTAATAATGTATGTGAAGACCAGTTATTACTCAGTTACATTACTCAGTTACTCCTCTCAAGTTACTTCCTCTCCCAGGATGGAGCTGATAGCATGACCCTCATTGAACAGATGAGTAAGTTAAGGCTCAGAGAGGTTCAGCAATGACTAGGGCGACATAGCCAATAAGGGCTATGAGAGGGACCAGAGCTCCTAACTAACACCTTAGCTCTCTCCCAATATGCATGTATATGCGTGTTGCACACATTCAGCACATGTGTGAGAGCCAGTTGGCTTTGGATTCAGATGAGGGCCCATGGACGGTTTTTGGCCAGACAAGCAGTGTTTGCCAGAGGGACCCAAGTGAAGGTTATGGCCTGGCAGAGCCTGCTCTTCCCTGCCCAGTGCTGGTCAGACAGAATGTGGGCCAGGCCCTTCTCAGAACCCAGCCTGGCTTGTACCCCACCCCAGGCACTGGACAAGATGGAGAAGGAGTGGTCAAGCATCCTGTTCAACATACTGCCCTACAAGGAGACAGAGACCTACATCCTCAAGAGCCCAGATGAGGCCTCACAGTTGCTGGACGACCACATTGTCATGACCCAGAGCATGTCCTTCTCGCCCTACAAGAAGCCCTTCGAGCAGCGCATCAGCTCCTGGGAGAACAAGTTGAAGCTGACTCAGGTGGGTCCTCCGTGGCCTTCCTTTATTTCTCCCTCACCCTCGCAGCCTCCATCCCATAAGTGGCCCTTTATCGTGTCTGGGTGGTGCTCGAAGCAGTGGAGAGCCTTGCCCAGGTTTGCACAGCTCCTGGCTCTCTGACAGGACCCTCATTCAGATGAGGGCGACTAGAATGGGGCTCTCCATATCCGATGTTTGACTGCTAGAGAAGGCAATTCAGGACGTGGGGGTGGGCCACTGTTGGTCAGAAGCTGTGGCTGAGGAAGGGCACGAAAGCTGTCAGCAGACCTCCGAAGGACTGGCTGGGCTTGGGACAACTAGAATCTCCAGTCTTGGAACTTTCTGGGCTGGACACCACAAAGCTCTGAGGTTCCTCAGTGCCCTCTCCCACTCCTGTCTCATTTGGAGCTGGTTTGGGGTGAGGTCGCCAGGGCACTGGAGACTGCCTCTCTTTAGAGCTTTCAAGGCCAGAGGCAGGGGCTATTTACAGAGCCCTAGAGGACTGTCCTGGGGTCAAGCCTACCTGTGTGATTCTAACAGCCCCTTCCCTGTGGACTGTGTGTGTGCTCCTTGAATAACCCAGAGATACGTGAGCTGGTCAGCATTGTCCTAGGGTCTCCCTCCTTTTCTCGTGCTATCCCCTTCCCCTGGATTTCCATCCCTACCTTCCATCCCCAAGGCTCAGCCTCAAGAGGCCCTCTGATTCCCGCACACCTGCCTGCAAGGAGTTCCCATCACAGCCCTTGGCCAGTGCCTCTTACAGAGTCCATTGCTCATGCCAGGCCCGTGGTGATTCAGAGGCAAACCTGGCTATTTAGTGGACTGTGGGCTCCTTGAGGGCAGGGACCACATCCTGTTCCCCTCTGCTTCTCCTGGTGCCCACATGGGCCTGGCACAGAGCTGGCCATGACAGACATCTCAAGAGGAAGAGAATGAATGAATGAACAAATGAACGAATGAATGAGTTTGCATTGATAGGAAAAAACGAGATAAATCCTGAAAGGGGAATTTGGAGGCAGAATTTAGAAAAAAAGTAGCCTGTTTTGAAGATGTCTCACTCTTGAACTAATGTTTCAGAGTATTTTAGAGATCTCAAGCTCAAGTCCCAGTACACCTCAGAGAATTCTGGGTCAAAGACCCCAAAGTCCTGCCAGGCAAGGAGGCTGGATGGGCTTCCATGCACTGGGGGTTTTTCCTCTGTTACTTCAGGGTTTGCTGGTTTGGGTGTGGTTCCCTTCTAAGGAAGGGTGGGTCCACGGCTCTGTTGGAGGCTCTGGCATCCTGTGGTGGACTTGGCGTTTATCTCAAGAGCAGGCATCCATGCAACCTCTTTGTTCCTTGGAGTACTGTGGCTGATAGCGCCATCTAGAAATTTCCCCACAGACATTGGCTCTGATGCCCAGTTCTCTGCCCAGCACTCTGGTATGGTGAAATCATGGGGACAGGACCCCCAGCTTGGACCCTGGGCTCTGACAGTTCAATGCCTTGCCCAGGAAGTGCTGGAGGAGTGGCTGAACTGTCAGCGGTCCTGGCTCTACCTGGAGCCCATCTTTAGCTCTGAGGACATCAACCGACAGTTGCCCGTGGAGAGCAAACGCTACCAGACAATGGAACGGATCTGGAGGAAGATCATGAAGAATGCCTATGAAAACCGGGAGGCGAGCTCGCATGGGGATGGGATGGGGAAGCTGGGACCCCCAAGGGCCCCCGTCACATTGTTGGGAGGCTCCTGCTGTCATTTCTCCCTGAACAAGAAAGATCAAAGAATAAGTCCAAGGCTTGGTCTTGGCCTGTGTTCCCAGGTGAGCTCTCCCATCATGAGAGACACCCCTCGGAAACACAATAGTTAATGATTTAACAGTTGATGATTTTCTTTTCTTTTCTCCTCCCCACTCGATATTTTTTGCATTGCTTTTCAGAGAGAGTGAAAGGGAGAGAAAGATAGAGAAACATCACTGTGAGAGAGACACATCGATTGGTTGCCTCCTGCACGTGCCCCAACTGGGTTCGGGGATGGAGCCTGCAACCATGGTACATGCCCTTGGCTGGAATCAAACCCAGGACCCTTCAGGCCACAGGCCAATGCTCTAACCACTGAGCAAAACTAGCTAGGGCTGATGATTTTCTTTGTGGAAATTTGCCATCCACATTAGCATTTTTTAAAAGTCCTGCAGCAAATCAACCCCCTTGGCTTTGTTTAACCCTATTTTTTTTGACCATGGACTTCTTTTTTTCCCCCTCCCTCACCTGAGGATATTTTTCCCATTGCTTTTGAGAGAGAGTAGAAGGGAGAGAAAGAGAAACATCGATGTGAGAGAGACACATCGATTCGCTGCCTCCCGCAAGCATCGGGGTTGGGGATCGAGCCTGCAACGGAGGCACGTGCCCCTGGCCAGAATCAAACCCAGGACTGCTCAGGCCATAGGCCAACGCTCTAACCACTGAGCCAGACCAGCTAGAGCGACCATGGACTTTTTTGTGGGGGACTGACAGGCGTGGTGGATGCAACCCCTAGTTCAGGGTCATTTTCCTGCCCCTGTTCCTTCCCAGGCCTCACTGAGGGTCTCTGGTCCATATGGGTGCTCTTTGAGCCCACCTTACTGCCTCCCAGTTGGACCATGCTCACTTCCAGTTTCTCTCTGACCCGGGCCATGCAGGTGATCAATGTGTGCTCTGACCAGAGGCTGCTGGACAGCCTGCGGGATTGCAACAAGCTGCTAGACATGGTACAAAAGGGCCTCAGCGAGTACTTGGAGACCAAGAGGAGGGCCTTCCCCAGGTGGGCACCACCTTCCCCATGCCCACTCTCTCAGTGCCTGCCCGTGAAGCTGGGGCATTGAGGATCCCACCCATGCTGGCATGCAGGGGTATCAGTGGTACTAAGGCAGCTGGGCCTTAGGCGGAACCTGACCCACTCCCTTACCCCTGTTCCTTTGGCAGATTCTACTTCCTATCAGACGATGAACTACTTGAGATCTTATCCCAGACAAAGGACCCCACTGCTGTGCAGCCCCATCTGCGCAAGTGCTTCGAGAACATTGCCCGGGTGGGTGACTCTGCCTGGGGCTCCGGGCCTTGGGCTCAGGGCCAGGAGCATTGGGACTCCTTCCCAAGGAGAACAGCTTTTCTCTAGCCCCCAAGTTCTTTTATAGCAGGAAATGAGGGCCAAGTGAGATTTCTGGCCCTCGGAGATGCATCTGGGGCCTGTGGGAGGAAGGTCAGCTGCAAAACTCCCAGCTCAGGACTGGGAGGCCCTGGATCTCAACTCATTCAGGGGAGCCCCATCCCCACAATACACTGAGGTGCTGGCTGGGTTGAGAAACCCATGAGGCTAAAGGCTCCTGACTCTCCTTGCCCTCATTCTTGCCTACAGGGAGGCTGCACAGGTCAGCACAGGAGGGGGACTCGCAGGCAGGGTTAGCCTTCTTCCCCAAGTAGGCTGGCTGGGCCAGAGCTAGGGACAAGGCAGACCCATCCTGCCTGAATACACACTCAGGGAAAGCCAGCACAGCAGATGTTCAGGTGGGGACCCCTAAGGCAGAGCTCTCTTCTGAAGGTGAAGGGTACAGGTAGGTCAGCCCTGGGGCTGTGGTGGGTGGAGCCTCTGGGCACACCTGGTACAACCCCCACTCTTGCTCGCCCTGCCCACAGCTGATGTTCCAGGAGGACCTGGAAATTACACACATGTACTCAGCAGAGGGTGAGGAGGTGCAGTTGTCCTTCTCCATCTACCCGTCCAACAACGTGGAGGACTGGCTGCGGGAGGTGGAACTCAGCATGAAGACCAGCGTGCGAGACATCATTGAGAGGGCCATCAGGGCGTACCCCACAGTGAGTCATGCCTCTCACCCCAGCACAGCCTTCCAGCCCTGTCCTTCTATTTGCTCTTTGCTCCATCACGGTAGCTGGGCTGTCTGCATACCTCATCCTCAAACTATTGCCTTGACTGCTGCTGCTCTCCATCAGCCAGGGGATCTCCGGGGACAGGGGGTCCTTGAGGCCTGCTCAGTGAGGAATCTGAAAATACACTCCAGAAAATGAGACTTGCTCCTAATAATAATCAGTCACTATTCTGTTTCAAGCACTCACTATGTGCCAGGCCTGGGCTGGGACTTTACCCACATTACCTCTCCCAGCCCCACAGTCAATAGCAGAGCTGAGAGTTAACCCTTATCCTACAATGTCAGTTCAGAGATATTTTCTGCCTAAAGGCATGTGATTCACAGGTGGCAGAGTCAGGGTTTGAACCAAGAATTATATGTCCCTGATCCTGGGCTCCCAACCCTCTGCTTCAAGGTCTCTGCTGAGGAAGTGATGACCCTGCCCACCCCTGAGGGTTCCAGAGCTTAATGGCTTCTCTGCTTTTGAGGTGGAATTAACAACTTGAGCCCAGAGTTCAAAAGGCAAAGCACAGATGATGCTTAAGGAAAAAAAGGGTGCAGGGTTGGGACTGGCAGCTGCCTGGGTCAGCCCTGCCTGTGTTATCTTCCCAGATGACCAGGACCCAGTGGGTTCTGAACTGGCCTGGCCAGGTGACCATCGCTGGGTGCCAGACCTACTGGACTATGGAAGTGGCAGAGGCCCTGGAGGCCAGCAACCTCAGTAACCAGCTGTTCCCCCAGCTTGCCCAGCAGGTGGGAGTCAAGGGCGTCATCATCTGCTCCCTACACACACCCCACCCTGGGAGAGCCCAGTCCCTCCAGGACCTTTTCCTATATTGAGCCTGAAAGAGGCCTTGGGTTAGATCTAATGGGCAGAAGGGCAGACACACCAGAAATGAGTGTCTCACAACCAGCCACTATCGGGTGGGACTGGGGGTCTGAGGACAGCTCTGAGGCCAGGCAGGTGCTCTCTCCAGATGGTCACTGAGGGAGCCATTGCCTGCACCATCCCAGCTCTATGCACTGGCTCCTTACTACACTCCTTCCTCCAGCTCCTCACCAGGCTCCACCTCCTGGCTATTGAAGGGTCAGGTGGCATCATACACTACAGGGAGGCAGATGCCATGTGCATGCCTCCACTTTTATTTACTTCCCTGCCAGACTTCTTACGTGACCAATGCCCCCCTGTGCCCCTCCCATCCCAGACCATCAGAAGCCCCCAGGAGAGAGAGGTTGTTCCTGGCAAAAACCCACCCTCTGTGCAAAGGAAAGAGAGCCTACCCCTGGCATGATTGCCTGACAGTGTCCCCCAACTCCTGCAGCTCAGTGACCTGGTGGCCTTGGTACGGGGGAAGCTGTCCCGCATGCAGCGGGCAGTGCTCTCAGCACTAATTGTCATTGAGGTCCATGCCAAGGATGTGGTGAGCAAGCTGATCCAGGAGAAGGTGGTCAGTGTGAATGACTTCGAGTGGATCTCACAGCTGAGGTGAGGAGGCAGAGGACCCTGGCCCAGCCATCCCCAGGGTAGAGCATCTGCAGGCCAGTGCCAGGGGAGGGTGGAGAGTCAATCAACAATTGCTGTTGCCAGACCTCGAGGCCCTGGGACAAGCTGGACAGAGGTACCTGATGCCTTTATTCACAAAAGAGCCACCTTTCCTCAACCACATACCCTTCCTGGTGGCCTATGGTCCCCATGGCCTGAGAACCTATTTTTCTGCAACGCCAGGTACTATTGGACAAATAACAACCTATACATTCGAGCCGTGAATGCTGAGTTCATCTATGGCTACGAGTACCTAGGCAACAGCGGGAGGCTGGTGATCACACCCCTCACCGACAGGTAAGAGTCCTATGTGGGACTCCCCGCGTGCCCTCCCACACTGGGTCACTGGGTCCCTTCCTCCAGCTCTAGCTGGCCCAGAAGAGCAGGGATAAAAAGGCGCAGCCAGTCCCATCAGAGCATGCAGGGTTAGGAACATGGGCTTCAGGTTTAAAACCAGCTCTGGAGGTGCAGGAGTGAGCCGAGAATGCTGCGCCCGTGGGTCTGGAGTTGAAAGAGGCCTTCAAAGAGCTTCAAGCCAAAGTTATTGACAACACAAGGTGGAGCTCACAGACATACAGACTGAACAGCCAAACAGGACAAAAAAGGATGCCCATCTTACAGACGCGGAGATTATGACTTTGGGAGACGAGACTAACATGTCTGACAGTGTAGGAAGGAGTTTTATTCTTCAGTCCGAGGAGATAATTTACAATCAGCTGTTAGAGAGACAGAGCATAGCAGAAGGAAAAATGAAAGAGCTGGAACAGAAAAAATCCTACCCGGAGCACACGCAGCGTGAAGGAAGCTGAGGACAACATCCAGGAGATGCTGACGGCATGAAGGGCACAGTAGGAGGCCTCAGGGAAGCTCTTCCTCCTGACCCCTCCCATCCCTGGCAAGGACAAGGGGCCTGTGAGGGGAAATGGCCTCTGCTTTACCCTGATGGACATTTATCTGGATGGTCTGGTGACCCTCAGGATAACGGAGATTATCCTGAGCCCCTTTCAAATCCAAACCTGTATTTTTTATCCTGTCTCTGCCTGCCACCACTGCCAGAGATACTCCTCTCTCCTGGGGGAGGAGTCCTGAACTCCCAGGAGAGGGTGTATTCGAGCCACGACAGACTGGGGGGGGCTCTGCCCATGCCCCCTACTAGTCATGCTGGTCAGACCAATAAAAGGCATCTATGCAAAGAAAAAACCACACCCAGCTCTGACTGTCACAGGCTGAGTGACTTTGGGCAGGTGACTCAGCCCCTCTATGCCTTAGTTTTCTCTCTGGCTTCCTCAGGGTGGTTATGAGAATTTCATGAGCTGGGACATAAAGCTCATAGCTCAATAAACATTAATGGGTGTGAGCTTTACAGTTTTTTCCAGAAGAATTGATCTTGAGAGAAACAATGGGCAAGTCCTTTTATAAAGTGAACAGTTCTCTTCTGCAGTCAGCTTCTTCCTCTTGCCAACTGTCTTTAGTAGCAGATTTTCAAGTTGGATTTTGACTAAGGGAAGTGTGGCCACAGGTGAGCCTTCTCAGGGGTCTCTGAGCAAGGCTCTGTGGGGCCACAGGGTGGGGTGGGGAAGCACTGGGCGAGGGCTGCAGTCCTGACCCCGGCAACCAGGCCTGAGCACGCCTGGGGTCCTGAGGGGATGGAAGCGCAAGAGCCGCTCATCCATGGGGCCGAGAGAGGGAGGTTCTCTCTCCCTGTGTCTGTGGGAATCCCAAGGAAGGTGCAGGACCCATGTGTACCTCCTCTGACTCCTGCAGGTGCTATCTGACACTGACCGGCGCCTTGCATCTCAAGTTTGGGGGTGCCCCAGCTGGCCCAGCCGGCACAGGGAAAACAGAGACCACCAAAGACCTGGGCAAGGCCTTGGCCATCCAGACTGTTGTGTTCAACTGCTCTGATCAGCTTGACTTCATGGCCATGGGCAAGTTCTTCAAGGGCCTGGCCAGGTGAGGCTCGGTGTGAGGGCAGCACAGGACAGGGCAGGAAGGCTGACCTCTCCTGGGGGCCCTGCCCAAGAGGAGCCTCACAGGATGGTGGAGGGGACAGGAGGGGATAACAGGAGTCAAAGGCTCAGCCCCTGCGGGCACTGGGGAGGGGTGGTGGGCAGTGGGATCATGGCCGAGCAGATAGAGATCACTATTGACCACTTCTTCCCCAGTGGTGTCGGGGGGCCCTTGGAGGTGCCAGGTGGGCTCTGAACTCATATCCACTCATGTTCTCACCTCATTTAGTTCTGGGGCTTGGGCCTGCTTCGATGAGTTCAATCGCATCGATATTGAGGTACTGTCTGTGGTGGCACAGCAGATCACCACCATCCAGAAGGCGCAGCAACAGCGGGTGAGCCATCCCCCTCCCCGCTTCCCCAAGTCACCACCTCATCACTTCATCTAGACCTGCCACACCCATGCCTTCTTGTGACTTTCCACCCTGTAGGGTGAGAAGCCAGGCACTGAGCCTGCCTGAGCCCAGCCTCTCTCCTTTCACAGGGGACTGAGTACTTCCCCCTCCTCCTTTTGGAGCTCTCCTTGGGGACTGTTATAGCTAGTCAGGGAGCCCAAGATCCCTACCCACTCTGGGGGTAGCTCCCAGTCCAAGCTGCAGTAGTTGAAGGCATCCCTCCCACAGGAAGGACATCTGTCCTTCCTGTAGCCTTGTTCAGATTGGCCAGAAGTCTTCCGGGAACAAGAGCTGGGAGGCTGGCAAGAGCCCCAACCCTACCCGAGTAGGGCCCTGGGTCCCAGGCAGAGCTAAGCTTGCTCAGGTCTGAGGAGAATCAGTTGTCAGGACCTGGGTGTGGGAGATAGGAGATTTGTGAAGACCTCAGGTAGCTAGGACCTGGGACGCTACAGGTAGTTACTAAGATTGGAGGTCTCAGGCCAGATCCTGAGAGAGGAGCCAGCTCATGATCAGGGATCCAGTCTGGGCTGACCAACTATAGTCAGGACGGGGGCATCAACAGGGGACGAGAGGACCCATCCAGAGGAGGGGCAGGCAAGCCAACCCCTGCCACCCTGTAGGTGGAACGCTTCATGTTTGAGGGCTTTGAGATCCCACTCGTGCCATCCTGCGCAGTGTTTATCACTATGAACCCAGGATATGCTGGCCGCACTGAGCTGCCTGATAACCTGAAGGTGAGTTCAGGCCTGGAAGGCCACCCAGGGCACTGGGAGGCACTGGAGCCTGTGGCCTGGGCTTGGAGATGCTAAAGAACTTATGCAAGGCACACAGCTGCTGGACATTAGGGACTGTGACTCCCCATGGCAGCACTCCTGTCCAGGGGTCCTGAAGCCCATTCCCAGGCACAGAGAGGAGGCCCCAGGCTTGTCCCAGGGTTGGGAGGAGTCAGGGTACGAATTCAAGTTAGCACAAAAGACCAGTTTCTAACAGGCAGAGTGGTCCAGCCACAGGGAAGTATAAGCCTCAGTCATGGCAGGCGTGCTCCGAGGATCCACAGGGGAGGAGGGCAGTGAAGTGGCCTCCTGAGAACTAGACAGCCCTTAAAATGGGTAGTGCTCTGGGAAGAGAGGTCTGCCTCTCTATTCACATGTGCACTGTGGACCCCAGGCGCTCTTCCGGCCTGTGGCCATGATGGTTCCAGATTACGCCATGATTGCTGAGATCTCCCTCTACTCCTTTGGTTTCAATGAAGCCAATGTGCTGGCCAAGAAGATCACAACCACCTTCAAGCTGTCCTCCGAGCAGCTCAGCTCCCAGGTGAGGCCCTGCCCCAACCAGCTTCCAGGGTCTGAGAGCCACTGTCTGCCCCCAGCAATCCCATGAGATAGGAATTACATCCCTATTTCTCAGCTGAGGACACTGAGACCTAAGCAACTAAGAGACTTGCCAGGCTTATGCAGTGCCCAGGAGAGCTGGGGCAGGAGCCAGGAGCCAGGAACAGATGCCCATCCCAGCTGGTTCAGGTGCAAGGGAGGGTCAACCATTAGGAGGCCAAGAGCCACACAACCCAAAGCTTTGGATCAAGTGCACCTGGGTCTCATGGGGACAGAGTGGGATAGCCAGCCCCTTACCTGAGCCTCCCAGCTCTCAGCCTCCCGGCTGTGGACCTTCTACTCAGCATGCTAAGCCCAGGTTTCAGGGATAGATACCATTGGTCCAGGTACCAGCACTGGTGGACGAGCTTTTCTGTTTGGCTCCACTCTCAGTCTCCCCTTTGCAGTGGTAAAGATGAACCCCAACTCTGTCTGGGCTCACATCCTACCAGCTTAGTTTCTCTTTCCTAATAGTTCCAGAAAAAGTCCCAACTTCCACCTCTCTGGGTGGCATGCTTATACATGAACACCAATCACTGTGGCTAAGGGGAAACCATACTTCCTTTGGCCAAGTGGAGCCCACCGAAACCCATGGCCTAGAGAAGATGCAATCCGTTACTGGGAAAACATCTGTCCACCACAGAGCATCCTGGTGCCAACACCTGCACACACCTTCCATCTAAGCATCCACTTTCAAAATGCTTTCCCCTTTAATAGAGCAACTGTTCCCACATGGTTCTGGAAATAACCTCAGCCCTTCTCAAATGACAGTGACCCAAAGTCAAGCCCAGCCTCTTCATTCAAATCCAAGATTTCTGGGAAATGTGCTGGTCTGTGGATCCAGATGTATTCTCATGGTCTGGCACCATGGGACAATCTGATAAATTTAACTATTCCCAACACCTGGTATATAATGAAGAGAAACAGGACCAGAGGGAAAAGCCATGGTAGTGTGACTGAAAAGGGTGGGTCTAGAGCCATGCCACGAGGGAATCTTAGAAGGAATCTCAAAGGCCATTGAGGCCAACTCGTCATGGCACACATGGGAAACTCCTTGATTCACTTTGTGAATAAAAGTCGAGTGCCTCCCTGCTCTTGGCACCATGTTGGTACTGCAGGGATTTAGCTGCAACCAAGGCAGAGTCCTTACCCTCGGGCCAAGAGTCAAGCAGGGGACATAGAATAAGTAACCCGGTAAAAGGAGAGGGCTGCTGGGATGGTGAACTAGGGGGTGGCAGAGGGGAGCAAAGGAGGGCACCTGGCCCAGGCTGGGGCACACAGGTAGTCATAGATGGGCTGCAGGGGAAGTGACATTTTAGCTGCAAGCTGGGCAATGGGCCAAGTACCAGGTGGGAGGCAGAGTATTCCAAGCTGAAGCCCTAAAACGGACAGTGCCCACACCTAACCCCTCCTGTATGGTGGCAACAGGATCACTATGACTTTGGGATGAGAGCTGTGAAAACTGTGATCTCAGCAGCTGGGAACCTCAAGCGAGAAAACCCCACCATGGATGAGGTGAGTGCCATCCAGAGGGGTGCCTGGGAGAGGCTCTAGGAGGGCTCCAGAGCGGCTGGAGGGGCATCTAGCCTGGGCCACCCTGAAGGCTCCTCTGGCCTCTGCTTCAGGAGCTGATCTGCCTCCGGGCCATCCGTGACGTGAACGTGCCCAAGTTCCTGCAGGAGGACCTCAAGCTCTTCTCCGGAATTGTGTCTGACCTGTTCCCCACCATTAAGGAGGAGGACACTGACTATGGCATCTTGGACAAGGCCATCCGCAAGGCCTGTGAGAAGCACAACCTCAAGGATGTGGACGGTGAGCCCCTGGCCCCTGCCCCACAGTCCCGTGGGTGTCTGAGGAAGGGCTGGCTCCAGCCACCTGGGATCCTGGGCAGGGGAACAGAGACGGGCTGACCAGCCTCAGGGACCCTCATGCCTGGCCCAGTGTGCTGTGGGCTGGGGCTCTCTGTCAAGCAGTCTATGGGGGCAGGTGCCCCTAGCCCTGTCTCCACTGGAGCCCTTCAGGTTGATGGCTATCTGGAAAAAACTCCTTTGTTCTGACACCAGATGTGTGGGATTTTCTTACACCAACCAATGCCAACTGGCTGGGTATCTTAAAACTCAGTTCAATTCTGACACTAGTCAGCATTAGCATAGACCCCACAGGTTAAGGGCTCAGTTCCAAAGACTGTCCCTACTTCAGATGCCAGTTCATGTAGTAGGTCCCCAAGTTACCCACGACTTCTGTCTATCTTGGCTACAAATCAGAGGTTCCCATGACCCCCTCCTCAGGTTTGATCACTGGCTAGAATGGCTCATAGAACTCAGGGAAACACTTATGTTTATTGGTTGACTATATTAAAGGATATGAGAAAGGATACAGATGAACAGGCAGATGAAGAGATACGTAAGGTGAGGTCTGTCCCCATAGAATTGGGGCATGTGGATGTGTTCACCCACCTGGAAGCTCTCAGGAAATTACAGAGGTCTAGGAGCTCTGTGTCAGGAACCAGGGTCAAAGACTAAATATTAGAAAAGAAGATTCTGCTAACATCCCTCTTTACAAGCGTTTGAGGAGCTCTGTCTCAGGGACTGAGGCAGAGACCAATATATCATTATTTTTCCACAATGGGGAAGCAGCTGGCGTCCCCTCCCCCAGACCTCTTGCTGTAGCCTCTCCTCCCTGTGTGAGGAGCAGTCCCAGCCCTTGGGCCTTTCTCAGGCCTTACTTCTCCCACACAGAAGCTGTCCCCTGCCCTGTGCATGACTGGGGCTTGATGCCATGATTGGGGGAAGATGGTAAGCTGTGGCCTGTCCACCCCTCCACCCCCC